AAAAAAAAAAAAAAAAATTCACTTGCAAGTGATTACTTGAAATCTGTAATGCATTTTCACATAGATGCACTCATGCTGGTGTGTATGTGTATGTGTGTGTGTGTGTGTGTGTGTTTGTGTGTGTGCCTTTTGGCTGAGAGAGGTTTTTTTCAAGCTCTTTTTGTTTATTGTGAATTCATTTGAGTGTATACTGGGGATTGAACTCTGGTCCTCGTGCTTGCTGGGCAGGTAGTGGAACCACTGAGCTAAATCCCCAGCCCGCATATGAAATCGTAACATTATGCCATCCTTTCAGGTTAATTTTTACCTTTCAACCTAAAAAGAAGGCTGGTGATGTATGTGGCTCAGTGGTAGAGTGTTTGGCAAGCTTGCGTGATGCTCTGGGTTTTACTGGGGATTGAACTCTGGTCCTCGTGCTTGCTGGGCAGGTAGTGGAACCACTGAGCTAAATCCCCAGCCCGCATATGAAATCGTAACATTATGCCATCCTTTCAGGTTAATTTTTACCTTTCAACCTAAAAAGAAGGCTGGTGATGTATGTGGCTCAGTGGTAGAGTGTTTGGCAAGCTTGCGTGATGCTCTGGGTTTGGTCTACAGCACTGTAAAATAAATAAGGAATAAATCAAATTAAAAGAAGGAAAGAAAGATTGGTTGCTATTGGGATGCATTTCTGCTTAAAACATTTATATTGGAAAATGCCCAGAGAGACAGCCCTCCCTGCAGGGCGGTCAGAATTCTCTGGTGATACCCTGTAGTGCACCAAGGTAGGCTTTAAGTGTGCACTTAAGTAGGTGGCAGAGCAATAGTTTCAAGAAAGTGTAGTCTCAAGATATTATTATAAGCAGCCTATTACCTAGTTGTTTTTTTCTCTTTTTTCTCACTTAGGAGAGAGAGAAATGCTGTTTTTAATATTTCTCTTTTCTTTGGAGCAATAGAGTTAAAGAAGGGAAAAGTGTTACTTGCGTTTGTATCCCTCCTACTCAGAAGTGTGACCTGCTAGCTTTGTTATCATCAGGGAGCTGGGTAGAAAAGCAGAATCTCTTTGGTGTTTACACATGTGTGACTCATTTATGTAAAGGTGCACGATCCCAATGATGAATGTAACTATACTGTATACCTAAAAAGTACCAACAAACTCAATGAGAAAAAAAACAAAAAAAGAAAAGCAGAATCTCCAGGCCCACTTTGTACCCCACCTCATATCAAATGAATCAAAATATATAAGTAATAACTAAAAGCTATTTCATTTATCAAGACCCTGGTGAGATTGCAGGTTAAAGTTTGAGAGGCACTTTATGTTCTACCTACGTGCATACTATCACATGTTTGTAGAATTTAAATAGTGTGAATTGGGTAGGTAAGTAGATTCACTTCTAATTCGCTATTCTTAGAAGTAGTCTGTCGAGTGCCCACCCAATATGTAACATACATGTATATATTTTCTGGCAGATTCTTTATGGCTTTCATTTTTGTACTGTCTAATAATTTACTAATTATATTCAGAGTTATTGACTGAGTCCCTCTCTCTCCCTCTCTCTCTCTCTCTCTGTCTCGTGGCAGTTGTATTATTTCTCTTGAAGATATTTCATTATTGTTGACCTTTCCCTCACTCCGACGCCTTTGGAGGGAAGTTATGTCAACTGCAGCCTTGATTACTTTGGTTAGAAGTGGTGGGAACCAGGTGAGAAGGCGAGTACTGCTAAGCTCTCGACTGCTGCAGGATGACAGGCTGGTGACTCCTGTGTGCCACGGCTCCACGTCAGAGCCCAGATGTTCTCGGTTCGACCCTGACGGTAGTGGGCGTCCAGCCACCTGGGATAATTTTGGGATTTGGGATAACCGCATTGATGAGCCAATTCTACTGCCACCCAGCATTAAATATGGCAAGCCAATTCCCAAAATCAGCCTGGAAAACGTGGGCTGCGCCTCCCATATTGGCAAACGGAAAGAGAATGAAGATCGATTTGACTTTGCTCAGTTGACAGAGGAGGTCCTGTACTTTGCAGTGTACGATGGACACGGGGGACCTGCAGCTGCAGATTTCTGCCACACCCACATGGAGAAATGTATTATGTACGTACCTTTGCCTTTCACCTTTGATTTGACAACTCCCCCCTATTTCCTGTTTAAGCTTTACGTTTAGGCTGAGATGTCCATTGCAAACTACGTTTGCACTGCCACCCTATGAATGAACAGTAGTGTATGCATGCCATTTATGACTCATAATTAGTACCATTTCAGAAATGTGTCTGAATACCTCTCTAGGAAAGCATAGACCTGAATGTATAGTACTTTATTTTTGACCATTTCCCATGAATTAGCATAAAATATATGAGATAACCAATCAGGCACATTTACTCCTCTCAGTGCAGGGAATGTAATAAGTGCTTCAATAAATGGTACTCTTTCAAGTGCTATGAACAGCTTTAAATACTGGTTGAAAAGAGCTTTGGACGGCGCCATTTAAGTGGAAACACGCATTTCATGTGGGAGTTTTGAGGCCCTTTAAAATTTTATGTCCTCCTATTATTATTATTGCTGTTTTGAGAATCACTATAGCTATAATTAAAAGAGGGGAAACATCAGAGTTATGACCATATACTTCTTTTTATGTTCCTGTGTGCATAGTTAGCTCTACTGTTCATCAGTTGATTTATGCATAATTTACCTCATTCCACAAAATGACTCAGTAGTTTAATTTATTTATTTTTTAAGTTTTGTAGTACGGGGGATTGAACTCAGAGCCTTTGCACTGATCAAACCCACAGACTTTTAAAAACTTTCTCTGAGACAGGGTCTCACTAAGTCACTAAGCTAGTCTTGGGTTTAGACTTGGGATCCTCCCACCTCAGACACTCAGAGTGCTGGGATTACAGGCATACACTACCTTGCATAGTTCAGTGGTTTACCTTAATATGAAGAAACTTTTACTATCACAGGGTTGTAGTAGTGAGAACTAATTCTTTAAGCAGAGGCACTTGTCACATGTCTGTAATCCTATCACTATGGAAAACTGAGGCAGGAGGATAAAAAGTTTGAGCCCAGCCTTGGCAATTTACCAAACTTGTCTCAAAATAAAATATAAAAAAAGTTTGGAGACAAGTCCTTGGGAAAACCTTGCATTTAACGCCCAGTACCTCAAAAAACTGATTAATCGATTGATGGATGCTAGGCAAGTAGTTTACCACTGGACTGTGCCCCCAGTCAGACTTTGATTTTCCTGCCCTTAAAAGCTTATCACATGCATGAAGCTCTGGGTTCCATTCTAATACCAAAAACGAACAAGCAAACAAATAAATAAGTAAATATTTAATAAGTCTATTGTGTGGAATGTTGTATAGAGTGATCATGAAGAGAGATACCTATGGTAAAGTGATTGTTTGGGGCTCTCTTTCCTCTCTTCAAAGGGATTTGCTTCCTAAAGAGAAGAACTTGGAAACTGTGTTGACCTTGGCTTTTCTAGAAATAGATAAAGCCTTTGCAAATCATGCCCACCTGTCTGTTAATGGTATGTAAAGCAATCACATTTCTCAAGGTTTTGGGGAGAGGGGGGTACAACGGAAACAACCTAGCTATGCGGGGGTTTAATGTAAGTTTATTTGTAAGGAGCCTTATGTAGAAATGATTTTATATATGCTATTTGGAATGCAAAGTAATGTCAGTACCTCACTGTAACATGAGAATTATTCAGAAAGACAACCTCCTAATGGTTCTGTTATTAGATATTTTTAAAAGATTTTTAATTTTAAGAAGATTTTAAAATGTTTTCATCTGTTTGATTTCTTGCTTTATGAATAAGATATTTATACTTTGAGAATATTTTTCCCACCAACAGATCTGATGAGCAAGGGCTAAAATACTCCAATAATCATATCTACAGAGGAAGGAGATTGTTCCAACAAGAAAATAACTAATAAATCCTAAAATAGGAAAGGAAATTGCTAAATGCACTAGTTTGTATAATCAAAAGGAAGATATTTTTCTTCTACTTTTTAAAGCTCAACCTTGCAGTTTTTCTGTGTTAACTAGTAATATTTTTATTTTTGTTAAATATTAGAGCATGCCAACTGAATTTAAAAATATGTGTACAGTATGATTTTGAAAGTAAAATGTTTCTGGTTTTGACTAGATTTATCAAAACTATTTCAGGAAAATGTAGCCAATATTTTCTAGTTAGCTGGCCCAAGTCATTTGCTTTTAATTTGAACTCTAAAAATTGAAGCAGCAGCCATAGCATGTATGCCTCGAAGCTGATTTGAAAGTGAATAATAATATTAATCTGTATTTGTTTCATCCCTTTCTTTTAAAAAATGTATCACAGAAATGTCACTTTCACATTTTTCAGTTGGAGTGCACAGGGATAGAAATCCTCTCCATTTCACAGATAGGAGTTGAAACTCAGAGGGGTAAAGGTCAGTTCAGCTTAGGGCTGGAACTTTCCTGAGCCCCAGTGTGGCTTTTCTCACATGAGTATTTAATGATGAGGAGAGGAGTAGTAAAAGGCGAAAGATTTATGCGATCTGAAGAGAAACCAGAGTATTGAGGAGAGAAGTAGGTAACTCTGGGATGGCTCTGTTCACTTTTGAAAGGTATTTATTTCCTTTTCTTTTCTTTTCTTTTATCTGTTCTTTTCTTTTCATAGTGCCGGGTATCAGACCTCTCCCACTTTGAACAAGCGCTGCTCCACTGAGCTACATCTCAGCCCTTTCCTGCTCTCTTTTGAGAACCTCACCATAGATTCTTTAGAAAAACATTCTCATCTGCTCTCCCTTTGTTCTGTTTTAGTTTGTACATTATCAGGCCCATTTTCTTCTCTCCTTCATTCCTTTAACAACCTTTAAGAAGATAGGAGGTGAGAGAGGGTGAAGTTTTTGCCTAAGATTGAGCTCTTGTGCCAAATGGGTAAAACACATGAAGAAGAAAAGAAAATAAATTTGTTCTATTTTTATAACTCTAAGTTTTGGTATGTTCTTAGTTTACCCATTCCTGGGCTGGCTGTGAGTCTGGCTGCATCACACACCACATTGTTTATGGGCAACACTGTCACACCTGTGGTGTGACCAGTTGTCCTGCAAACAGCTGGAGCTTGCAAGGCCAGGTTGGAGAAGAGAATGGTGGAGAACCTTGGCGTGCAGCCAAAAGCTAAACACTTTCAAGGTGCAGTCAGCCTTTTTGAAAAGGATCCAATTAGTGTTGATGCTGAGGATCATCAGTACTAGATTTGCTGTATAATTTGAAAGGACTTCTTTCATTTAATAAGTAATAAATTGTAACTCAAGGGAATTTTGAACTTACTTATTTAACTTGAGTACCTTAAAAGAAATTTTCTATAAATCACTTTCTTAACATAGCCCAACAGGTGTATAGGGAAATTAATCATAGACTACAATTCATTCCTAACAATGAAATTAAAATATTTTGTGTAGTTTCTGTCATATGCTCTAAGATATTGATCTTATAACTTTCATAAAGATATTTAAACTTCATTTGTAATAGCTTTTGTTTGAAAGTATAATAGACCAAGATAGAATAATGGTTAATATGCTAATAAAAATATAACACTGTCATTAAATATCATTATGCATATATTCTTATAGTTTATTAGTCTACATTTTAAAAATTATTGTTTTAAGAATATTTAAAAATTTTATTCTTCATAAATTGCTTAATCTTTCAAAGATGGCAAAAATTATCTTTTGGTACTGGGACCTATTTTATCAAATATATGAAAGTCACTAAACATGGAATCCTGTATGTTAACTTTTCAATTTTTGGACTGAAAAAAGAAACCTATCTCATTATAGATTTCAAGGATATTTAAATTGAAGAAAAAGAAGTTTTTAGCAAGAACTAAAGTAGTATCAGTATTATGAGTGTATAGTATTATGTATGTGTGTGTATATATATATATATGTGTGTGTGTGTGTGTGTGTGATAGTATTTTATACATACACATATATATATATATATTCTGGTTCTGGTATTTTTTTCTAAACTACTGGGCCTTGCAAAGTGATCTACCACTGAGCTACACCCCAGCACTTCTTTTGTCACCAACTTTGAATTTTTTTGTATTCAATTTATAATAGTAATATGTATTTTTATAATGATTAAACCAGCCAGTGAATTCAAATGATATCCAATGCCTTGTTGTTCATAAATAGTAACTTAAAACAAACCAGGTAATAGAAAATTTAGATTATAATCCTGTATATCTTATAAACTCTTCAAAGTGGTTGTAGGTCACTTAAGCTTTGAGAACAGCAAAACTCCCCATTGGACAAATGGATCAAAAAGAGAAAACCTGCTCTGACACAGAGGGAGAGACACAAATGGAGGGACAGCTTGTCTCATGGGAAACATCGCTGCTCTTCATATTATGATTTATTTATAGAAAAATTACACTAAGAACTAACCAGGGACTTTTTGTGTGTAGTGTTGCAGACTGAACCGAGATATTTAAACATATGACCACTGAGCTACAACCCCAGCCTATACGATTTTCTTCTCTTCCAGTACTAGGGGTTGAACCCAAGGATTTCTCATTGAGTGACATCTCTAGCCCCTTAAAAATATTTTATTTTTGAGGCAAGGTCTAAGTTGCCTAAGTTTTCTAGATTAGGCTCTAACTCACTGTCCTGCTTCAGCCTCCCAGAATGGTGTGACTATGGAGCTGTGTTGCTGTACCCAGACCCTGTACAACATTTTAAAATATCCTTCTACTAGGAGTCACCAAACTGGAAGGAAAAAAAAAAGAGTAGGGACAGCATCAAAGAGGAGTTCTTATTGTGCTGTTACTACTTCAGCTCATTACTTTGGTTTTGGTGTTTGTGAGTCATACATGTCTAGAAAACCTATTTTAATAAGTATGAAGACGATTGGTTTATAATATTATTTACACTGTGCAGGTGAATAGTTCCTGGGGTTATTATACTTTGAAAAGTACAGCTTTTAACTTTATGTTGCTGTTCAAAATTGTGATAATTTTTCTTCTGTTGTGTTGACCTGCAACACTGGGGAAAAGACAGAGCTGCAGAAATACCCATCTTATGATTTATATAAATTATAAATATGTTAGTGCTCAAGAGCCTTACTTGGTAGTATACTGTGGTTCACATCCTCTGCCTGTGTATTGCTTGTCTGATACAGATTATTCAGTGCTGTCCCTGGGAATTTACTCTGTTGTTATTGAGGCAACTTTGATGTTGTTACCAAACAAATTTACAGTGCATTTTTTGTAACGCAGTAATTGTACTTATTTACTGTGTTCAAGACCAACCATGTAAGTGTGTGTGTGTGTGTGTGTGTGTGTGTGTGTGCAGATGTGCATGTGTTGCTTCTGTTATGTTTTGGTATAGATGCATTTGCATATAATTTTTTCCTACCTGGGAAGACACAAAACTAAGAAAGAAGTATTACTCTGAGATTAAAAAGAAAGACTCAACTACAAAATACCATCAACTTGAGCAAGTTGAGTTTTCACATCATTAATTTGGCACTCCTGGAATATGATATAATTTGTTAGTGAAATTTTCACCAAAATAAAACCCTTCCCCTTATTTTGCAGCTCTTTCTCTGCTCTCCCCTGTGTTGCAGGTTTGTAATGTTTGAGCACAATTCCTGGGTGAATTTCCTATTTGCCTCTGTGCGTGTTATTTGTGGCAGAGAACTGTACGTGGTCAGCAGCTCTAGACCTGGAGCCCGAGGACACTATTGCTGGGCTTCAGTGGAAAGAGGGATCTGCTTAATTTTGTCTCAGGTGAAGGAGTCCAGCGGTTCCTATCCTGGACTACTGGAAGGTTCCCACATCCTCTTTGTCCCATTAGTTGAGGTGAATTGCAGTAGAAATTGCCCAGTGAGTGTTAAGAACTTATTGAAAGATGTCTTCGTTTTATAGTTTTATTAGGACAGAAAAGTGAGAATTTTTGTTTCCATATTAAATGTTAACTGACAATAAATGCTGATTTACTATTTATATTCTTAGATGCTTAGCAAATCAGAATCAACAGTTAGTTTTGAAACTTTTCCCTAACAGTGGGATTTTGGAACTGTGAAGGTGAGTTGATAAAAACTCAAACTCTTAAACTCCTACATGGAAGAACCATGAATTAGAAACCTAAACTGCTAAACTTCCATTTTTCAAATTTTAACTCTTGTGATAGCCAGTTAAAGATAACTTTTTAAAAAGCTATTATTGGACCGGGGATTTAGCTCAGTGGTGCCACTGCCTGCCTCGCAAGTACAAGGTCCTGAGTTCCATCCCCGTACCAACAAGAACAACAACAAGGTAACATCTGAATAAATGCCTGTGTTCCCTTGCCTGGCTGTTTAAATTATTTAAAAATAAGAGATGGTTTAAATGGTAAAGATTCCATTGCTGTGCAAAAATTTCATCATTGTGTAATGTCTGGCTAATCTCAAGTTAAAAGTTAACATTTGTAATATAAACATCACTACTATATATTTTGCAACAGTGATATGACTTTGAAACAACAGTTCCAAAATCAAGAGACAAGTGGGAAGATAGTACAACTATAAATGCTATTTCTCAATAAAGTAAATTCAGCATGACTATGAAAGATTAAGTAGAATTTATTCATGCTTTTCCATTGTACCTTTCTAATTAAAGCAGGCATTTTTATACTGATTTTGGGAAGATAGTACAACTATAAATGCTATTTCTCAATAAAGTAAATTCAGCATGACTATGAAAGATTAAGTAGAATTTATTCATGCTTTTCCATTGTACCTTTCTAATTAAAGCAGGCATTTTAATATACTGATTTGAAAAATCTATTGATATATATATATATATATACATACATATACATATATAAAAATTTATATATATCCTTGCAAAATATTTTACTGATGACGTTTTGGGAATTGTCTTGGAGGAAAAAATTCTTGGAAATATTGAGTCTCAATCAATAATATTTCTTTCTCCTTAAATTTACCTTTAAAGTTAAAATCATTTTTGGATGATCATCTGGATATGTTTAAATGCTTTATAAGAATTAACTATGTTACTAGAGATAATACCTGCTTTAAATATGTTATCCTTTTCAATTTCTTCCATTTTGCTTTATTTTTAGCTGATAATTTTATAATATTTCACTTTTAGCAAGGCTCAATGCACCTTAAATATATTTTTTTCAATAAATTGTAAAGATCTTAGGGCAAACACTGTTAGAATAAGTCAAAGAAAAATATAAGAATGCAGTTTTATTTGGATGGAGTGAATAGTGGCAATCTCAAGCCACACTGAATTTTACTTGATCTCAGTCAGAGAAATTTAATATTTTTGGAATGCTCTGGGTTAGGACACAGAATCAACAGTTGGCAGTACTGTCCTGCATTTGGATACAGGCTGTCTTAGATCCTTCTGAAGCTAATAGTGTTAACTACACCAAGTTTATGAGAAACTAGAAAGAGTTTTATTCCCAGCCCCTCAAATCTTCTGTTAATGTAATTATGGCTCTAACTTTGTTTCATGTTTAGGGAGAACAAAGATGAAGAGAAATGTATTGAGCCTCCTACCATTTTAGAATATTTCTGGTGATGATTTATGAAATTAAAACAACTGTAGAAGGAAAAAGAAACACATAGCACTGAACAGCACATAGTTGAGCCAGCCAGGCATGGTGGTGCAGGATCCAGCACTCTGGAGGCTTAGGCAGGAGTCCGAGGTGATTACACAGTGAGCTCAAGGCCAGTCTGAGCTAGCTATGTAGCAAGATCCTATCTCAAAAACCACCAAAAACCAAACAAATAAAGAGCAAATGGTTGGCCCTTTCCATCTTTCAGCCTATTCTATAAAATTATATTTTGTGGAGGAGAAAAACCTAATCTGATGATTGCAAAAAAGTCAGCTTGCCTGAATGGCCTCAGCAGATCTAAATTATCCTGTCACAGCAGCCAGCCTAATTAAAGTACTTTAGTTTTGACTCCTGATTTATACACAAAAGTGTCATCATCATAAGTTCAATTCCACGCTACTTTATATGAAAAGAAGCCACTTAGGAAACAGTAATGCATTATTTACCAAATTAAATTAGCAACCTTTTCTGTTTGCATGGAGCCTTGTTATTTAAGATAAATACTCATTTCTCTGCATGCTGTTACTTACATAGCTCATTTGCATTTTACTTGCATAGCTCTAGTTAAATTATAATGATACATCCCAGCATTAGTTTATCATGCTCGTGTTTTATTTTTTAATAAAAATTCTATATCCAATCATTTGACTCTCACTAACTCATATTCTTTTTTATAATATTTGTAGCAACCCTTCTGACTTCTGGGACTACTGCAACAGTAGCCCTGTTGCGAGATGGCATTGAACTGGTTATAGCTAGTGTTGGGGACAGCCGGGCTCTTTTGTGCAGAAAAGGAAAACCCATGAAACTGACCACTGACCATACTCCGGAAAGAAAAGATGAAAAAGAAAGGTACTGCCACCCACCATGAATCATGAATCATTCTATGGGGATGCTGTTTATAGTTCAAGAGGAAATAAAGCATTATTTATCTATTCAATACTGAGGACTGATCCCAAGGTCTCTTACTAAGATAGATACTAGATAACCACTTTTTAATTTTTTTATATTAAGACAGAATCTCATTAAGTTGCCCAAGATGGGCTTGAATTTAGGATCCTCCTCCTTCAATCTCCTAGGTAGCTGGGATTACAGATGTGCACCACCTATACCACTGAAATGAAATTTTCTTTTTCTTTGTGGTGCTGGGGATCAAGCCTACGGCTTGATGCATGCTAGGCAAGCACTGTTCCATGGAGCTCTACTCCCAGCCAAAGTTTTGCATTTTAAAATTGATACTGTGCATAAAATTAACAGATGTAGTTTTCTGCAATTATATCTTCAGTGTTTTATCTTTTTCTTGATCAGGATCAAGAAATGTGGTGGCTTTGTAGCTTGGAATAGTGTGGGACAGCCTCATGTGAATGGCAGGCTTGCAATGACAAGGAGTATTGGAGATCTGGATCTGAAAACCAGTGGTGTGATAGCAGAACCTGAAACTAAGAGGATTAAGGTAAGAAACGACTTGAAAACATTTGATATAGACTCAAAGAATGAATAATCAGGCTTTCTTGAGAGAGGTAACTGAGTCAAAATGTTTTTTCAAAGGGGAGTAATTCATGGGAGGGTAGATAAACTTTTCAGATAAAATAAGATACTATTTTCCTGACCTGCTATGCTGTGAAGTCTTTGGTTTTTGTTTTACTCTAGCTGTGGAATCCTGGTAGAGTGGCTCTGTTGCCCTTTCTTTCCTGCACCTGGTCATTTAATGTTTTCCCACAGTGGAGCTGCCCTTGACTTTCCTTCTTCACCAAGCTGAATAATTGCCTGCCTTTATTTCCATGGGCCACAGCCCTCATGACCCTCATGACATCATCCCAGTGCACAGCCAGTCTGTGATCTGAGACTTCCTTCTCAGAAACCCTTGAGCTAACTTACTTAGTACTTACTGTCTCCCAATAATGGCAGCAGATATTTGTTCATTAATCAGTGATCAGTGGGTTTCCTAGTAGACCTCTCCTTTTATGTAACAAATTATACTCATTTTACATAACAGGTACTTAAATGGGCTTTGCTATGTGCCAGGTTCAGTTCAAAAGCGGTATTACTATCCTCCTTTTACAAGGAACATGAATCTAAAGTGTACAGAGGTCTGAAGCATACAAAGGCTCACAATTTTAGTCCTGGAAAGTGCTCAGTCAGCTGAAAAATAGGATTTAAATTCTGGCTACTTCAGCATTTGGCTAACTTTTTCCTTTATGGTGTTACTAAGTGAATGTTTGGTTTATCCTCGGTGGTGGTTGATGCTCTTACATTTTCACTCTTTACCTATAAACATATGACCACTCAGCAGAACAGATAAAACCTTCCAATTGTCAGAATTATTCTAAGTTTGGGTCTAGTTTGTAATCACATGCATTTGGTTCTGATTGCAGCTACATCATGCTGATGACAGCTTCTTAGTCCTCACCACAGATGGAATTAACTTCATGGTGAACAGTCAAGAGATTTGTGACTTTGTCAATCAGTGCCATGATCCCACTGAAGCAGCTCATGCAGTGACTGAACAGGTGACATGGCAGAGCTTTTGCTAGGAAATTCCCAAGAAGGGAGGGGGTGCGGGACAATCCCAGGCACATGGGTCTCCATGTAGCCTGGAGTGGCTACCACAAGCTTGAGATTTCTTTGCAATCTTGTGTTTCAGCTTGAATGTCACAATGAATTTCACACTTAACGTCATAATATTTCCATTTAGCAAATTTTAAAAATGTATTTAAGTAGTTAAGTAAAACTAATAGGCCATAGAAATGCCACATTGTTTACTTTTTGATTTTGTATATACCTTGAAATGATAGTGACAGCAATAATCAATGATAATAATAGTGAACTAATATCACTTTGACTGTTCACATAACTCAAGTAATGACCACAATAACCCTGAGGTTGGAGCTTTTCCTAGAGGGGGAAATCTGAGGTACAGAGCCCACGTTGCACTGCTGGGCTTCAAATCCAGCCAGTCAACATTCCCAAGTCAAAGCACTTGACCATTGAATTAGACTGCTGCAAGAAAATATCCAACTTGAGAAACACTGCAGCATGTAAAGGATGAGAGATAATAGGTTATAAACCCCAGGTCAGGGATAGGATGCTGTCTTTGGGCAGAGTAGGGTGGTTAGGTTTGAGAGGGATGGTGAGCAGTTGTTGGGATGAAGCTAGGGATGGGGTGGAAGTGTCCAGACCTTGGGTTTGAAGTGAGGGGAGGTGATGGGAGCCTCAGGGAGGGGCAAAGATGCAGACAGTAGGGCAGCTCTAAGTGTTGGCTGTATCCCAGGGATGGTCGGAGTGACTGACAGCTTAGCTAAGATGTCTTTTCCTAAGAAGGGAACAGAACAGGTGGAGATGACTAAAAATGAGTGTGGCAATAGGTGCTGACCCAATTTACACCAGATTGGGGGAGTTTTTAAAAATCTGGAGACTTTGCCATCAATATGCACAATAGTAGTTGGGGTCAGAAAGACCAGTCCTTGGAAAAAAAGAAGGGTAGAATGGCTGGCAATCATATTGACCAGGAATGGGATGGACTTACCCTCCACTGTAAGAGTTACCTGGAGTTCAGTGTCTGAGATGGTCCAGGGGGCCTCTGTGGCCTTTAGGTGGTGTCAGTCCTCAGTGGCCAGGCCAAGAAGATCTGGGAAAAAGCTTGTCAGTGACCCTTGGCTGGTAGGTGATGGCCTTTTCCCACTGGTACCAAGTTTGTCTGTATCAGCTCTTCTGTGGGCACCCAAGTCCCCCAGCTAGGCAGGCTCAGGGGGTGTGGGTGATGGTGGCCCAGCGGTGCGGTGTCCTCGGGCAGGACACAGCATACTTAACTTCTGGTTATTAAAGATGGCTATGAGAAAAAGACAAAAGTACATTTTTGTGGGATTGTGCATCACTCAGGGCTTAAATTTGAAAGTTGGGTAATATCTAATAAAGAACATATAAAAGTTGCTTTGGTTTAATTTTTTCTGATAGCATTTTTAAGATATAGCCATTCCTGATGTTTAACTCAGCAGTTATTTTTGCATGTCTAATATGTACACTTTCATTGAAAGTACAAATTCAGCTCAAACTCATTTGGTTACTATGTTGTCTACTTTTAACCAATAATAATGGAGAGCTTATAAATTTGAGGGAATAGGCCCAATTCCATAGAACTATTCTTTTTTTTTCTCATTGAGTTTATTGGTATATTTTAGGTATACAGTACGTTACATTCATTATTGGGATCTTGTACCTTTACATGACTTGTCTTGGTTCTCATTTTTTCCCCTTAACCCTGCCCTCCCTTCACCCCCTCTTCCCTTCCCTATTTACAGATACTTTATTTCCACTTTTTCATTTTCTCATATTTTTCCATAGAGCTATTTCTTAATTGAACTTCTCATTTCATAGATGTGTGTTCTAATTCACAAAGGCTGTGACATTTGTAATGATGGCATAGTATTCTGTCTTATTTGGGTAACATATTTCAGTTAGTAGTTCTTCTAATCAGCAAATTTAGTTTATGTTCACTTTTCCATATTATAGAGGACAGACTAATAAACATTTTAATATTTATTCATGCATATCTATCTTTTTCAGTTATATTTTCTTAGGTTAAATTCTTAGAAACACAAATCTCTAGATTAAAGGATGCACAGTATTCTAAAGCTCTTAATAGTATGTCAAATCTTCCTCCAGGAAGAATGTATCAATTTACACTCTCGTGAACATGTGCTGTACTTTGTGTTTCTTAAAATTCTCATAAGTTTGTGTTTTGTTTTGTTTTTACCAGTTTGGTAGGAGGAAAAAACAAAAATTTTAGTGTTTAAGTGTGCATTGTTCTGTTTAGTGGAGATAACAATTTGCAAAGTTTATTAGCTATTATATGACTTGTTTTTTTCCCTTTGCTTATTATTTTGTTGTCATTGTAAGAGCTCCCTATATATTAAATATAGTAGTTCTTCAATACTTCAATACTTTTTTGTCTTTTAATTTGTTTGTGGAACTTCTTCATTTATGGAAGCATTTTACATTTTACAGCTCTGGACTTCAGTGTTTTGCTCTTCCCTCCTCGCAGGCATTACAGTATGGCACTGAAGATAACAGTACTGCAGTCGTGGTTCCTTTTGGCGCCTGGGGAAAGTATAAGAACTCTGAAATCAACTTCTCATTCAGCAGAAGCTTCGCCTCCAGTGGCCGATGGGCCTGATTTCTGGCCGGGACCTGGAGTTTCTGTGCAACAGTGTTTGCTGAACTCATCAAGACAGTGGTAGATCATAAGATTTCCCTTTGTCTGCCTGTGCCAATGCGACCCTGTGACTGATTAGTCCAGTGCTCAAGTCAGTGTCAATAACCATTTATTTACCTATTGGCTTTTTAAAATAAATATTGTACCTATTCTATTTATGTTCAACCATCCATGCTTGGTATAAATATATGTGCAATGAAGCTATTTTGAGTCTCTAAATTGAGTGGGAAAATGAGGATGCTTTTGGTACATTGATAAGTGCTAAATTTCTTTTTAGTTTATGTTTTGTTGTTGTTATTGTTTGTTTTGTTTTTGTGGTGCTGGAGATTGAGCCCAGAAGTTCTCACATGAATTTCTACTTTTTAAGACTCTTAGGCAACTGTGGTTTCTCTTGATAATTTTTGGGTTTTATTCATTTAAACAAGTTCTTCAAGTTTTTCTGAATTTTGGCAGCAATTCAATATGTTAGCTACAAGGGATTTCCTTCCTTCCTTCCTTCTCTCTCTCCCTCTCTCCCTCCCTCCCATTCCTCCTTCCTTCCTCTCCTTTCTTTCACTTTCCTGCCTCCCTTCCTTCTTCCCTTCCCCTTTTTGTAAGAGGGCATCTCATTGATTGCCCAAGCTGACCCTGAATTCCCAGGCTCGAGCAATCACCCTGTCTCAGCCTCCCAAACAACTGGGACTACCCAGGGGCACACCACTATGCCTTGCTTACAAGTGTTTATGATTAATAACTGTAGCAAGGAGTAAATGTGAAAACCAGGCTGTGTTAGCATATTTTATATTCTAGACCACTTCCTGCTACATGTAACCATGCAAAAGAAATTCATTCAGATAATAAACCATTGCTAAATTGTATGCATATTTACAGACAGCATTCTTATGTATTTCAACTATTACTGGCACCCTTTCCATTTATTTCTATTTTCCTACAGTTAAGAATGCTCTATAGATGTGACTATTCCTTAATGTCTGAAAAGAATGTGCAGGCTAAGGGTCTTTTGGTCAAAACAATACAAAGTTGTGTATGTTGTGTAAAGTTTTCATTTGTTGTCTCTAAATCACGTTTGTATATAGTATGTTCATATCACTTTTTGTATAGAGTAAGCAAGTTGGATAATTTGTAGTAACAATGCCACATGGAGTGATGCTGATATAGAAAGCTTGAGGTTTATGTCTGTTTCGCTCATTTCTAAGACTGAGAAATGATAAGTCTAAAACAAATGCTAAAACATTCTGTATCTCAGCTGGATGTGTAATTTAGGCCTGTAAGGCTGAACTTTTTACTTGCATATGTTTGCTGTTCAACTGTGAATCTCTAAATATGTGCTGGGATTATATATGCAGTTAATTTTCAGGCTATGTACATTTGTTATGTATGTGGTATGTGTATATATGTATATTTTGGTGTAATATAAATTAAAGGGAATAATCTTGTGTAGGTAATTCATCAGTGAACTTTAAATTATTGATATACTAAAGGTGTAGGGAAAGTGGGAAAGGCAGGGGAAAGGGAAAAAGGGAAAGAAAAAAATATGAGAAAATGAAAAATGGAAATAAAGTGTTTGTAAATGGGGAGGGGAGGAGGGGGTGAAGGGAGGGCAGGGCCAAGGGGAAAAAATGAGAACCAAGACCTGTCATGTAAAGGTACAAGATCCCAGTAATAAATGTAACTGTACTGTATACCTAGAATGTACCACTAAACTCAATAAAAAGAAAAAAATAAATAAATTACTGATATATTTATCCCTAAAGATGCTTGACAAACTGAGGGCAGTTCTCCTGGAATGGAGAATCTAGTTATTGGTAGGTAAGGAAATAGATTAAGGATGGCTGTAGGAAACATTTTATGTTGGGTAATTTATCGGGATAACCCAGGAACAGAGCCAGCATGTTGAACTTACATTGCTATGTGGTACTTTGAACAAAAAATGAGATTTGACAACACTGAATGTTAAATATGACTTGGAATTTTGTGATGGAAACAAAAGAAAAAAAAAAGTTGATTGATGTATATAACTTCAACTGTCAGTTTTCAGGACTGATTTTTTTCTTTCTTTCTTTAAGGTTTATTTAAAGGTTTTTATTAGAAAGAGGGCCAAATATAAATATTCACATCTTACTTTTGCGGGAATAAAAGAAAATAAATATTGAAGTCTCTTACCTATATTAATCAGGAATTAGCTTTTAAAAACAGGGCTAAATAAATACTTCAGTTTTTTTTCAAGGAAATTCGTGTAAAAAGGACAGCATTACACAGAAGAATATAGTCTGCTGTTTTTTGAGCAGCGAGGAATCAAAAAATAGACTAGCAGAGTTGGGAAAGTTTCTTGCTCTTTCTGAGTCAGGTCTTGGAACAGAGACATATTTTTATATTTAGGAGCAAGCAGAATTTTCAAATTAATAGGTAAAACAAAACCTTAAAGCACAAAGATGTCACTCTAAAGGTCCAGGCTTCATTTTGTTTTAAATTCTTCACATTATTAGTCCTCTCTTTTTTAAATTAAAAACTAAAAGAGGGGCCAGGGATTTAGCTCTGTTTCTGCTGCCTGCCTCGCAAGTGCAAGGTCCTAAGTTGGATCCCTGGTGCCCCCAAAATAAATAAATAAATAAATTAATTAATTAATTAAAAAAAAATAAAAGAGAGTGATGTAGTCAAGTTCAAAGGCTTGAAGGTCATTGGCAGAAGAAGGTAAGTTGCCAGGTTTCACAAAGAGGAATTTGTAAGATAGTGGCCTTGGGTGCACCTGGCTGGATTTTTGTTCGTTTATTTTTTTTAATCTTATTGAGTTTATTGGTACTTTTAAATTATACAATACAGTTACATGCATCATTGGGATCTTGTACTCTTTTTTTACTTTATTTTTTTTTCTGGCTGTTTTACCTAGAAAATTTTTAAAAACGTAAGCCAGTCATCCTTGAGTAAGCATAAAATATGTTAGTGTTTATATTTTTAAGCACAATATTAAAATACACTTAAAATGTAGATTATTATATAATCCATAAAATAAAAACATGTATTAGGCCTCTAAAACTTGTTACTAGAAATTATGCAAATAGTAGGAAAAAAGAGAACTGTTCTAAATATAGTTTTTCAGTTATAACTGAATTTGTCATGTGGGTATAGACATGGTATAAATTAAATAATACAATAAAACATATCAATTATATTTATGTTTGTCTATCTACATGTGGTACAATATATATTGTATAGTATATGTATATTATATAGTTATATGTGTATAGTATACATATAAAATTTGTGTTGCCAGACTATGTACAAAAACTTATTTGGTGAAATGTTCTTAAATTGTTCTGATATTGTATAAACATAAACTGTTAAGTACCCCAAATATTCAAAAGTAAATGTAGCCCTACTCTCCATCAATTGTTTATTAAAGATCTTTGGGTTTCTTAAGTGTTTCAGTTTGTTTTTGTATTTTTTCTGGAAAAAAATCCACTGAGGAGAGATTAGTTTTGATTCCTTATACACTGATAGGAACTTTCTCCAAATTCAACATTCAAAAAAATTACTTTGAAGAGTCAGTAGCATATAAAGCATAGAAATAATTTTTTAAAAGTGAAATCCTTTTTTAAAGAGTTTTAGCAGAGAGTAGGCCTGTGCTAACTCTTCAATGTTACTTAGTTTTATTGCTAAGAAAGGACAGGGATTTCACTGCATGGTTCCATGACAGAGAGAAAGTGCTTCAAGGTGGGGCCTGCGGGAGTTAAAATTGAGCATTAAATAATTAAACACAAGTATGCATTTCTATCTTTCTTTAGTTCCTCAATAGTTCCTATATACCTGTTTCTGTAAAAAGTGACAAGATATTTGGGTTGGATTACATTTTAGTTCATAAACTTCCTCAAATAGATGGATTAAGCAGAAATAATAAACCTTGCCTTTACAAGGTGATTAAGCCAAATTGCCGTGGCCTTCCTGCTGTTTTTGGTGTCTGGGATGAGACCAGTTGACTATGGCAGCTCCTATTCACTGTAGATGCTTGAAGTGGCCTATGACTGGTCATTGGTTCTGGCTGTGACCTGATGATGGTGTAGTCCACCTCCAAGAATAACTTATCTGCCATTAGATTCTAGTATAGAATTTAACAGCCTCGTGTATCCCAAACTGATTTCTACTGAGGAACTCTGGTGTACTTTACAATTTTATTTTACGATTTACTGAAGTATTATTTGGTGTTTAGCGCCTCCTACAGTGAGTGGATATTATTGCTGATTTGACCATATTACAGTGACCGTGAGCAGACTATAATTGCAAATCTTGGTGTTGAAAACATCATTTTAATAAAATACGCACATTAACTACTTTCTAAAATTCCATTGTCTTTATTTGACATTCATGCTATCCGAAGTGTATTATGGATGTGGTCATGTAAACATAATCAAAGATAAGAGAAATATGTAGTTGGATATTTCTTTCAGTAGCCAAAGTCTGGCTGTTTTCAAATGAATGTGAAGCAGGTTTGGGGGAAAAAGGATACACTCCCACCTGTTCAGATCTTTTTGCTTTTATCTAATGCAAAATTCATCTCTTGTTTCTATCTTCCAAAATATTTGATGGTGCAACAGAGGAAACAGTGATTATTTCTGTGATGCATCTGCAGCTTCAAAATTTTGTGTTCTATTTCCCTCCAGCATATTCAAAATATAATAAAAATTAAAAATAGCTCCTTGGCAGTGATACTATAGAATTCAGCATTATGCATTTAACACAAGTGACTTTTAATGTCCTGTCATTGACTGAATTAAGTGCAATAGTTTTTATTCTATAGGCAAAAGGACCTCTTTTGAATGTGTCTCTTATAGATAGCTTGGTAAGTTTTACCTGGCACTTTCTAGATGTTTAGCAATGAGGAACAATCATTAGCATTTGTTAAATGAGAAAATTAATGAATTGAATTCTACTTTGACTTCTTTTATGTTAACGGTGGAGCAGGTACTAGATACTTTAAATAATTAAGCCAAAAAGTATTTTTTATTAAGGGATGGCATTTCACCTCTATTGGTGTTTACTGTATGGTTCAGAATCTTGTTTTGAAACTCATCCAAAAAAGTCAGTACCTAAAATAGCTGTGCTGTGTGGATAAGTCTAATCTTTCTGTTTTAAAAAGTGGATAAGGACAAATGAATATTGAAGGTCTCTTACATTCTCGTTTCATTTGTTTGATTTGTTTTAGTTTTCTGAGACAGAACCTCACTATGTAGCCCAGGCTGGCCTTGCATTTGCTATGCACCTCAGGTTTGTAATCCTGCCTCAATCTCCCCTCTGCTGGGATTATAGGTGTGCACTAGCACATCTGACTGAGCCATGCTTTTTTATTTCCCCATATATTTAATTCTTCACAACAACCACAAAGGGGGGACCTAATTCTCAATATTATAAATGATATAAAAGTGTTAGAGTAGCTAAATATGGGTAAGATCTCAGGTCCGATTCCAACCTCTTTTGCTTCAAAGTCTAAGTTCCTCCTATTATATCATACTTCTTTTATTAGCAAAAGCTAAACCAATTCACTACCAACATCATCTATTAAGTATACACCTATGGCTGGGCTTAGTGACACATCTATAATCCTACCTGAGACAGGAGGCTCACAAGTTCAAGGCCAGCCTGGGAAAATTACTGAGATCCTGTCTCTTAAAGGATGGGAGCCTGCTGGGGGTGTAGTTAAGTGGTAGAGCCTCCCTATCAATCATCAGTACTACATACACTCAAAAATGTGTCCATCTGCAGAAGGCTCAATGATGGACACAAGAAAGAATTACGAATATATGAACCAACAACTAACTCAATGGATAAATGAACATATTAGAGATGGTAACTGAGTATATATTACACAGATTAGGGTAAAAAAAATAAATTTTGCGCAAACCTAATGAATATAACTGGGGAACAAATATGAATAAGTATACAGAATTGCTACTTTAAATAGCACTGAAAAGGACAGCAGAGAATCAAATAAGTCAGTATACCAGTGATCAATACTCAGAACCTTCTATACATTGCTAAAGATTTACAGGTGGGTCTAGTAGAGTTTGAGGAGTTATCGTTCTAGAAGGACTTTGTTCCCCACTTGACACAGAAGTGAGGAAAGTTACTTGCATTAGAAAGACTGCTACATTTACCTGAAAATATGAAGCAAATATATATATATGTTGGGGGGAAGGCAAAAGAGATCTAACCAGTGAGCCTACTGAGCCTTTGGTCAATTACAAAGAGTAGGTCTTTCATGAACCACGAGGCCTGGTGAGAGTTAGAACGGGCCTTCATTGCCCCCCACACTGACCAGTCATTGGATGTGACTGTGTTTGGGAAGAGGATGTGACTGTGAACTAGGAGGGATTCTC